TCTAGGCAGACTTCTGTCAAAGGTGTGTTCCGGCAGTTCCCAGGCATCTTACAACACCTTGCAGCCTGAACCCTCTCCCAAATCTAGGCACCCACGGCAACTACTCTCCGTAACATAAATCCTATGCCCAACAAGCACTATCCCTAAACCTCTCAACCCTACCTTAAGCCTGGATAACCTACCTTTTTTGGGATCCATATTTTGATTTCCTCATATAAGTCCTGAAAAAGGTAGGTTATTCCGGGTTAAGGTAAACACTAGAAGCCGCAAACGATCCTAAACCTAATACTAAACGCCTTCAAACCCTATCAACAGCGAACCCGATGTTGCAAAGACCTTGCAGGTCGACCTGGTCGTAGCCTGGGGCGATCTCCGATCGCAGGCTCAGAGCGCACGAGCCTCACGATGTAGCTCTGGGGTGTCGGGGTTTAGGCTTTTAGGGCATTGTACGTTTGCAATGATCTGAGGTTTAGGGTCTGAGCTGTGTGGCTGTGTTCCTTGGGGTTCCTTTAATATATATATATATATATATATATATATATATATAGAGTACAGCTGTACGTACCCCCGAAACCGTGATCTCACGATTCGCTTTAGTACTTCTTTTCAAGGTATTGAAAGGCTTTGGCGGGTAGCAAAGCGCACTCAACAATTCAAAATCAGTCTCAGCATGAACCAGTCATTCCGAGCAGCACTCATTCCGAGGTGCCGCATGCAAAAACAGCTTGAACAGTTGGTTAATTGCTACAAGGCAAGGTTCGAGAATCCATCACCGGTGAGCCCTGCCCTGCAGGCAAACAGCGGAGTAGTTTAATTAGTGCCTACGACCCTGGCGGACCTGGTTTGGAGTTTTGGGTTAACGACGGCATTTCTACCGACCCATCAGGCTAGGAGGAACAGTGACAGTACCAGAGACAAACAAGACCCTACGTAAGTGATTAAGGCCCCAATCATGCCTAAACCCTATACTCTGGACTCTAGACGGCGAAGCGGGAAGACGAGGTCCCGATTCTGCTTCCTGGGCCACAGATCGATACACTCGAGGACTGGACAGGGGTTGGTGGGGCTTTGGGTTTCGTTTTTTTCTTAGAGGTTGAGGGGTTCTAGGGGTTTAGGGGCTCAGGGTTTAAGGGTTTTTGGGTTGGGTTTGGGAGCATGTAGGGTTTAAGTTTTATCTAGGGCATAGGAAGTTCAGGATTTAGGACCGGACAGGCTTGGTGGGCTTGGTTAGGGGTCTTGTAGGGCGTGGGAGTAGGGTTCAGGTTCTAGGATTGGAGGACTGGACAGGTTATGGTCTGTTCGAGACAGGGTCTTGGAGGGGTTGGGTTTAGGGTTTTGGAGTTTAGGACTGGGCAGGTTTGGCAGGTTCGGGTCTTGTGTGGTTCGGGATGCAGGTTTGCGACTGGACAGGTTTGAGTTTGGGTGCTTAAGGCGTCATGGGACTTAGTAACTAGCGTTATAATTAGGGTAACTATATATATATATATATATATAATTACTCATAACCCCAATTAGGGTCCCTATAACCCTACTTACTAAGTCCCCTGATCCTCCAAGTAGGTCTTATCATCCTCAAAAGTGCATCTGAATGCCAGACCTCAAGCCCGAATGGCCCTGATAGTCCAATCCCTAAGACCCTGATGTCAAGGGCTAGTGTTCAAAATTTGGGAACGGAGGCTTACAACGGTTGATGATATAAATCCTGCATCAACCATAACAAGGAATATACCATAATTCCCATAGTTTAGGGTCATTAAGGTAATGCAGGATTTATATCATCAACCGAAGCACTAGACCGGAAAATTTAAGCCTTACCCTAAGGGTCCAAGTACCTAATTATCATATGCTCTCCGAAATAGTAACCTACATAACTACCATCCTAAACCCAAGTACCCAATTATTGGGTCCTTTGGACCCTTAGGGTTACAGAAGGGCGGGTTGCCTACCGCTCAAGATGCCAGGACATGTCACCCGGGCTTTCAGTGGAGGTGCGCCGACGACTGGGTACAGTTCTGTGCTTATCTAGCGCTTGATGCCGGTTACTTCGGACAGAGGGTTTCAGGTTATCACCCCAAGGGTCCAAGTACCTAATAATTATATAACTACTATCCTAACACCGAGTACCTAGTTCTTGGGTCCGTGGGACCCATGGGGTCAGAGGGTAGAGTTTGGGGTTTAGCCCGTAGGTTTTTATGTACCGACTCACGTCGCCATGATTGAGCAAAGGTGTAGGGTGTAGAGTGCCAGCTGTTACCAAAGCCTGCCCACGTCCTTCTAGAACGGTCTGGCCAAGTAAAGAACAAGCAGCAGGCAGCAGGACTGCAATCTAATGTTAGCCATTGTCAACAGCATCTTGTCTTGAAAGAAAACTCTGATCCCCAAGCCCTAAACCCTAAACCCAAATTCCTAAACCGAAAACCGTAAACACAGAGCCTTAAATTTCAAGCACCCAACACCTGAACCCTAAACCCACACCGTAAGCCTGGATGCTTTACAGACAAAGTTACCGAGGTCATGAAGGCCCGGCTGTCCGCTTCCTCAATCCCATGCTTGTAGACTTTTGGATGCTGAGGTACCGTATCTTCCCATGTACATTTGGTAACTGAATAGCCTTATTCTTCTATGTGCTGCTCTGCTGTGGTCTGCCTCTCCCTCTCTCTCTCTTGCTCTCTCTCTCTCTCTCTCTCTCTCGCTCTCCCCCTCCGGAACCTTGCATATACCGCTCCAGGCTCTGAGGCGTATGTGTTGGGTTGCAGAAAGGAAGGGGGCGCGATGCAGACCCTAAATGGTGGGATCCGTATGAGCCGGATCCTTAAATAAAATATTCCTAACAAAAACCAACTTGGGAGGTCGATGAAATCCTTTTGACCATGTAAAAGCCGTCATAAGCCGCTGTACAACCCTGGTAAACCTCACAAGCAACCTATAGAACTCCCACAAGACACCCTGGACTGAGGCTCCATGTTTGGTTCCCGGCGAGAAAGTGACTCCCTTCGAAACTTTGTTCCGGGTTTATATGATTTGCTGTTTGGGGACCAGGATAAAACCCTTCAACCCCTAAACCCTAAACCGCCTAAGCCCTAAACTCTAAACTCACGCCGAGCAGGTCGGATCTGCGATTCTATACCAGCTTCGGGGTGTCAACTTCGGCACGGCCGGCAATGGGAAGATTCAGGCCACTGTGGCATAGAAGACCCCTAGTACCCTTCAGGGTTTAGCGCTTAGTTGAGGTCTACAGTATAATGCAAAGTATCCTCTCTTATAGCTGTAATGCCCCCAATTTAACCCTAGCCTTATAACCTCCAGCTGCTACACGGTGCGTAGAGGGGAATAAACCCTAGACCCTAAAACCTAAGCCCTAAAACCTAAACCCTAAACCCTAAACCGTGAATGCCGTACCCCCGCTTCTTAAAGAGCCTGGAGTATCACATTCATTTCAGTATTTTGCATTGCTGCCAAAGCCATAGTCGTTGAGAAATGTTCTTTAAAGGAGCCCTCAAGGTAAGAATAGGTGGGTGTTCTGGTATGGTAAGACTAGGAATAAAGCGCCCTACTTCACATGCCAGGCAGAGTTTCAGATGGCTCTAGTCCTTTGTGCTTGTGCGCTTCTGTCTCTCTCTCTCTCTCTCTCTCTTTGCGCTCGCTGATGCCCTGAATCTACACTGTATAGGTCCTGTAGGTCTTGCCTCTTATGGTTCAGGGTTTAGGGGTTTGTCTTGAGATGTAGGATCCGGTTTCCGGCCGTCGCGTGTTAGGTTTCTGGCTTGGCGTTTCGTTTCCAGGTTGTGTTCTTCAGCTTCCCGAAACCCAAAACACTCAAGCCAGGAGGCAGAAACCGTATAGTAGTGTGATTACAAATACGACGATTGTTAATTCTCATACTATATCTAACTTTCTCTTGCTAAACCTGTTAATACACCTCCATTACCCAGACCCCCGGGAGGATCTAGAAAGTAGATCCCATAATTTGGGGCCTGTACTACTGAGGGTACTTTATAGGAACCCCCATTAAGGGATCTACTTTTTGGATTTTTGCGGGGGTCTGGGTAAACAATAATGTAGGATGGAGGACCTGCTGGTGCGCAATAGAGCTGCTTGTCAAACCTAGGGTCCCTTTTAGAGTCCGTTTATACATGTGCCGTATTATGGTCATAGGAGGCCAAAAGGGGTTTTAGCCTATGGGGGTTTAGTAGGCATTAGGGTTCCCATAATAGGGTTCATATTAAGGAATCCCTACCCCAAGAATCTTAAACCCCCTCTTTTGCTCTAAACTTGTCCTCAGTTCAGAAAACTACCCCTATAGTATCCCCTCACAGTCTTGTACTACAGTAGAAGCCAGAAACTTGGAACATCATTGGCCTCATGCCCTTAAGGTAAAGTATAAGGGATCCTAGCACTAATCCTCCTAAAGCCATGTTCCAACTTTCTGGCTTCTATACTATAGAGCATTCCCATGTATACCTCCAACCGCTAGAATTGCTTTATTTGTTGAGGCCCTATACTAGACCGTCACAAACCCTGAACCTCTGAACCCTAAAGTCTAAACCCTAATCCCTAAACCACGGATTCCGGCAGTGTCAGGTGATGATGGGTGACCGCCCCTGCAACATAACGAGTCGCAACGACGGCGGCTAGCTTGCACTTTTAGGAACTGGTTACGTAGGACTTTGTGGCTTTTCCGGGTTCAGGTTTTGAAGATGTTTCAGCGTTTTACGTCTTATAGAGGTATCTACTCACACAGACTTCCGCTGCATCTTTAAATCAATACCAAGGCGAGATCTACTGCATCGTCGACGGACCCCTGCGTTCGGAGCTCAGGGCTTTTGGGGTTGTCCTAGCCAAGAGTTTGCACATTTCAGGCTGCCAGGGTTTACGCGGTTAATGAGAAGGGGTTGTATGCCATGCGAGGAGGGGGGGGACGGTGCACCAACCCTGGTCAGGGCGTAGAGTATGGGAGTTTCCGAAAAAATTGGGTACCTTATTTGGGGGTCCTTATGATAAGGACCCTACTATTTAGGGTGCTATATTAGGGTCCGCTAATGTCGGAAACTCCCATATACCCGGCACAGTGATAGAGAGCTGGAAGAAGGCCGGTAAGCAGCGAGCGCAGGACCCCTAAACCCTAAACCCTGCATTCTCAACCTCACAACCCCAAACTCCAAAAAGTAGATCCCTTAATGGGGGTTCCTATAAAGTACCCTTAGTAGTACAGGGCCCTAAATTAGCGGATCTACTTTCTAGATACTCCCATAACCCCTAACCCTAAACCCCGAAACCTTAGCCACTCTAAACCCTGAATCCCAAGTCCTAAACCCCATAACCCGAAGCCTTAGCCGTTCTAAACCCCTGAATCCCAAGTCCTAAACCCCACAACCCCAAACAATAAAACCCGAAACCTTCTAACCCCCAAACGCTAAAATCCGAGGAGACGACCTGGAATCGCTGTACCCGGACCCTCCGATAAACAGCAGCCACGTCCTCGGCAAGTCTGGGATCCTGCAAGCTGCCATTTCCGGGTTTAGGGTTTAGGGTTTTAGGGGGGTAAGGGTTTAGGGTTTAGGGTTCGGGATTTAGGGTTTGTAATAGCGCTTGCAGGGTGTAGGGGTTTAGGGTTTATAGGGCTTACAGAGTGTAGGGGTCCAGGGGGTTAGGGGTTTAGGGGTTTGGGGGGTTTAGGGTTTAGGGGTTTAAGGTTTAAGGTTCAGGGCCTGTAGTCTCCATTGTAGTTCCTTTTCGGTGTTAGCTTATAGGGTTTTAGTTGCAAACTTGGGCAAACCATGGAGACTGTAGGTAGGGACCGGGTTCGGATTTGGGACTACCCTAACGTAATATAGGGACCTGTATAATTGCAACAGGGCTCTGGGGTCCGGGTTGGAGTATAGAAAAAGTTATAACGAGGAGCCCCTGACGGAGCAGTATTGCCCATCGTTCCGTCCCAAATCTCGCCTACGCAGTTCCTTGTGTTCACTAGGAGCAGCTTTCGGGCAAAACAAGGTCTTGGGAGCTATAGGGTTTGGAGGTTTGCGGCGTTTACGACATTAGGGGGAATGCGCTGGGAACCGTCATATCTCTTGGAGTCATCCTGCTTGTCATTATGGCGGTATGAACTTCAATAGTTTGTGTGTCGTTACTTCTGTCATCTGCTGAAGAAGGAGAAAAACTGGTACGTCTATTAGGGTTTAGGGAGTAGTAGCATAGTATTAGCATGGAGCACTTTCTTGTATTCTGGTGTCAATGTCACCCCAGTCCGATTATAGAGAACCGCAAACCCCTCAGGACCGACCTCAAAAACGAAAACCCTCCAACAAACAACAAGATGAAGACAATACAGTAAGCGAAAGCATCTCACAAAACAAGCTAGACACAGCACAGGGGTGCGGGAGCCTGTCTGGTGACCTGAACTCCCAGGCAATGGCGCAGTCGACGTGGTCGTTCCAATTCCAGCTACCTGGGCTTTGGAGCTTTGTTGTCTTTGCTGCTTGTGTGAGTAGGGGTGGGGAGAGGGGATTCCGGGATACACACACAATATATATATATATATATATATATATATATATATAATACATAATATATATATATATATATATATACATACATACATACATCTTTTATTTGTTGTTTTGCATTAGGTTGGTGCTTGGGGGGAAGGTTGGTATCAGGATGACAGGGTTGTTCCTTGCACGGTCTGCTCTGGAGTTCTTCGATCGTTTGTTGTTTCGCTCTGGAGGTTTTGGGGTTAGGGTTTTAGGGTTTAGGGTTTAGGGCTTTTAGGGTTTAGGGTTTAGGGTTTAGGGGTCTGTTTCGAGGGCTTAGGATTCAAATTCGCTCTGGCGTTGCGCTCGACTCAAACTCATGTATTCAGGTCCGAAGGTTCAGGCTGAGACAATTCGGGCTGAAGGGGTCTTAAGCCACCAAGCCAAAACGAGCGTCGCCAATACTGACGACTCCATATCTATTAGTCTTTTCATCGCCGCATCACCATCATTGTGTCAGTCTCCTTCTATCATCACATGAGCAACAAGCTTCAACGCGCGTGCACGAAGGGAATGAGGCATCGCAGCAAGAGCAATCATTCACTGCAGGTTTAGGGTTTAGGGTTTACCCTAAACCCTAAATCGAAAGCCCTAAAAACCCTTGAGACGCTGAGACGCACTGCCCTTCCCGAAGGCTCCATGTACCCTTTCTCGTAGATACCTAAGCCTTAAATGGGGGTCCCTATATAGGTACTTTAGGGCCTAAGTATATACTATATGGGTACATGGAGCTTTAGGGCTTAACGTCTTCAACCTCCAACTCCCGGCCAGGCATTGAGCCTTAGAGCATTATACCCGGCCTACGGCTACATCCCCAAAGCCTTGACCCTGAACTCTGAACGCCCTACAGACTGCATAGCCAAACCTGACCCTAAATCCCGAAGCCCCGAAACTCTGAACCCGACACCCTGAACTTGAGAAGGCTTACATCTAAGCGCGCCAGCACAGGTTGTGTTTTGCGGAGCAGAAAGAAAGCAGAATGGAAGGACGGCAAAGGACAGCCGAGATTTGTTTGAGTAAACTGATCGCTTTTGTCCACCAATGACGTTTCAAACAAACTAAAACATCACCAACCGAATCTGGAGCGTGCAGGCCCAAACATGACCAACTAACTTGACTTAGGAAAAGAGGGACCCCGCCCCAAATTGCAACAACTCCCTGACTTGCAGGTGCCGGCCAGGAAAGCTTAAGATGGCCAGAGATCCTAAAAGCCAAAAATGGCCAAGCTTTCGACATGTGGATGGAAGGGGAGGGGGGAGTGGGGGTTGCAAAGGCCGGATACGACAAGCACTCCCGAATTTAGGGGAATTCAGAACTTGGAGGGGCCTCAAAAGACCCACTATGGCAAAAAACTCTCCCAAAATTGGTGCGAGACCAAAGAAGGAACCTAACTGTAGACCCTGTGCCCTAAACCCCAAACCCTGAAACCCCAAACCCTAAACCCTGAAATCATAAACCCTGGACCCCAAGCCTTAAAGCCTGAAACCCTAAACCCTGAAATCCCAAACCCTCAAGGTTTGGCTGACCCTTGGAAGCAGCTCTACCTCGGCGTCACAGGCACGGAGGGACTTACTTTCTGCCTGCTGTCTTCGGACGCTTGAAAAACCTGAAAGCCCAAAACGTTTTGTGCTTGCCTTAAGCAGCCTTAACCCCAAGTAACTTGCGGTTTGCCCTACGCAAGAAGGTGTGTGTGTGTGTGTGTGTGTGTGTGTGCGCCTTTTCTGGGATTCAGGTAGGGTTTAGGACTTAGCTTTGCTTGCTCCGGAAGTCGGAAAACCGCAAAATACCCTCCTCTCTACAGTGTCCATGTACCCAAAAAGCATAGACTTTGACGCTAAACTGTCGGAACCACTGTAAGGACAACGTATATACACCGTAGACACATTGACCTTCAGGGTGCGAACCTTTCACACACTAACTGAAACCCTACATCCCGCAATCCTGAAACCCGAAACATAAACAACTCGTCCTCAACCCCAATCCTTAGGGGTACTTAGAAATAGCTTTTCAGTTTTGGTTGTTATAATCCCTAAGAAACAGCTAATTATATTTGTTGCTAGGTTTCTAAGTTCAGTATAGACATGCTGTCCTGCAAAAGAGACCTGAGCCCGAGACGGCAAAATCAATCGAGTCCTACAGGGGCCTCACTTGTTAAACATGGATCAGGGTTGGTGGATATGTTATAGTATAATACTTGGTATAAGGGCCTAGTGTCACTGATAGTTCAGACTCCGGTATTAGGCAATGTACCTTAAACCATATGAAGATACGCAAAGTTATGTGTTGTAATCAAGGGGTAGGTTGTAAACGAAACAAAATTCCATCATATCCGAAGATAACCTGATAGTACGTTGCAAAATACTTATGCGTAGAATGCGTAGAAGCCCTACAAATCCCGGGAACACCCTATGAAGACCCACAGACCTCCCATGAAACCCGAGAGAGACCTTCAAAACCCAAAGGACTGCGAGCCGCTGGCGGCAAACTGGACTTCTCATGCGGTGCACTTGCTTCCCTGTCCCTTGGCAGATATCTTGGGCAAAGGACCCGATACTTAGCTTGGGTTTAGGATGGAAGTTCTGTAGGCTCGTAACGGAGGGGGTCTCGGGCTTGGGGTTCAGGGTTCATGTGAGGGTTTCGGGTCTACAGTTCCTTTGAGGACTTCGAGTTCAGGTATCGGAACGGATCAAGCGCTTTAGACCAGAGGACTGCAACAGTAAGGACCGCTAGGGCAATTCGCTCCAGTGGGCCATTGCAGACACGAGAACGAGCTAACTACCAGATATTGAGATTAAATGCGAAGATGGCATAGATGACAGCGAGAATCAACACCACAAGTCATCCGAACCTTGGTCGAGAAACATGAACTTCTAGTGGTTCTAGCGCGGAGAAGAACCTCAGGCAGAGCTGGGCAGTTCCGCCAGAACATCACGAATGACAACTGCACGGACTGTGCACCCGGATGGTATACACCTGTCGCAGGCGCCTTGTTTTCTGAGGACGGCGGCATGTTGGCTTCTGCGTGTGTCCTAGGTTCCTGAGTAATTAGTACCCTTTTACCCTTTTTGGTTGTTGGGTTCCCTAATTAAAACCGAACGGTCGAAAAAAGGGGTACCCCTATCATAACAGGGCTACTCAGGAACCTAGTGTCTGCAGGTGTGTGATTGTGCTCGAGCTTGTGTGCACGTGTGTCGCTGTATGTTTCTTTTCCTCTAAACCCTCCACCCCAAAGCCTAAACGAGTTGTGTTTGTGCATGACGGTGGGTTTGTTTAGGATTTCGGACGAAGAGCTGAAGGTTGTGTTACCAGCACAAGAGTGCTTAGGTAGCCTGCTGCAGGATCATGCCAAAGCGGTTCCCCGGTGTTTTACGGTGTAAGGCAGGACCCCTTATCTTCTGGCAACCATTCGGCTGTAAGGTTCACGGTTTATGCGTTTCCCCCCCCCCCCCCCCCCCCCGCCACCTCTCCGGCCACACGGCAAGCCACCCTGAACCCTAAACCCCTAAACTCCCTGAACCCTAAACCCCTAAACCCCTAAACTCCTTGAACCCTAAACCCTAAACCCCTAAACCCCTAAACTCCCTGAGCCTCAGACCTCTAAAGATGGAAATCTGCTCTGCAAGGGCCCTTCCCGACCTGCCTCGCCTGCCTGGAGTCGCTGCCAAGCTGCATTTAGAAGCTACGGTCTACTTAGGGGTACTTAGATTTTCTTTTAATTTTTGGTTACCTATAAGGGTACTTAGACATATTTTTTATTTTTGGTTATTATAATCCCTAAGAAACAGCTAGAATTATAATTTTTGTTAGGGTTCTACATTCAGTTTAGTTCAGGGTTTAGGGTTTTCGGATTCAGGGGTTTGGGATTAGGGTTTCGGGTTCAGAGGTTTAGGGTTTGGGGTTTCGGGTTCAGGGGTTGCGGGTTTAGGGTTTCGGGTTCAGGGGTCTGTTACAGAGTAAGGAAGAGCTTCTCGGAAAGTAGGCCTTAGCCAGGCCTCAACGGACTGCAGAAGACTATGTGCCTCCAGAGATGATGACTTTCCTTCCAGGACCCTCCTTGTACCCTCAAATAGGGGTATATGGTCCCAATAAGGGGCATTTAGGGTCGAATAGAGGGTAGATGGAGGGTCTAGGTTAGGTGGTGAGTTCTATACCCCCCCAAGCATCCTAGACCAAGTTACAAGGTGCTTGCATAGTTACGACTTTATTAGCACAGATCTCCGACGAGTCCCTGAGCTCCACCCAGAGACTCCAATACCCCTTAATTAAGGAATATTCCCTAAATCATATTAAGGATCCTACTACAATTTAAGGTATATTCCTTAATTAAGGGGTATTGGAGTCTCTGGGTGAAGTGTCGCCAAATTGCTGGTTACAAGCCTGATGCTTCAACATCCCACATTTCTTAACCTAGGATGCCCTTTAGTACCCTTATTCCCCCTTTGTAGTCCTGGGTTCCGGATAAAGTTGCCCAGCACCAAAAAGGGAGCCCTTTCTATTCCTAGGTTACTGGGCATACTAGTAACCTTGGGTTATGGGGCCTGCCTGTGTTTGGATGAATGTAGACCCCTGATCAATAAAACCTTTTCCCCTAATAGTGGCGATCCTAGGAATCCGCACCCTATGGACATTACAGAACGGGCTTTTTGTTTATCAGTTAAGGCTCTGCAATGTGCAGATAGAGGTTGCAAGATAATGGGGGTCCGGGTAATTACCCATAGTGTTCCCTGGAAATCCTTGTATAGCTAAATTAACACATATATACTACCCCAGAGCCCAACTCTAATCATCAAGGCCCTCAAATCAGAGAACCCTTGTAACAATCCGTTGTCGTAACCTGAAAGTACGTAACCCGTAAAACCGTCTTCAGCCATGAGGTCCTACGCATACCAGTCTGGTAGCACCGTGCCCTGGCGAAAGCTGTAAGAGTTGGGGTCAGGAGGTTTGAGTCTCGGGTTGAGGGTTACAGGGTTTTTGGAATTTGGAAATCTGTAAGCAGCTGTGTTCTACTCTCGACCGGGGCAAGATCTCAAGACCCAGGCGGGCTTGTCGAGTTTCGGGCTAGGGCCTGTCGTGTCGCGCTACTAAAATCTCCGTTTAGATACATCAGGGTTTCATATCAAGACGCTAGAGATGTAGGCTGGGGTAGTTTAGTGTAAAGTTTAATGAGTTTAACCCTCAGAGGCAGCACGACCTATCTGTGATAACGATGCCGCTTGCTTCAAGACGTAGGATGCTCGGGCGGTGTCGTTAGGACGTCTGTCTTAGAGCTTGACCCACCTGCCGTCACATGGTTGCCGTCCCAGGTGTGCACGGAGTGTCCGGCCGGCCGGCACACGCTCGAAGCTGCGTCCATCTCGCCTTTGGATTGCCTCTGCCAGCCAGGCGACCACGACATGCTGCAGGTGTACAGTAAGGTCCTGAATCCGCAGACTAAACCCTCAACCCCGAAGCACGAAACGACTGCCTGCGAGACTAATGGGTGTGTACACTCTTCCTGGGTGTGCCACTAAGCCCTGCATGGCAAGTATGACAGGCCATTCGGGTTGCTCTGGTGGTGTGTATATTTATATATAGATATACGAGTATACGAGTATGTGTATGTGTGGGTGTGCATGAGTGAAGGTGCAATGGGGCGAGTGGGAAGGTGGGGATGTTCAGGCCCCTAGGACAGTGCAAGCTTTGCGTCTTGTGCCAGCCCGTACTTCTTGAGAACTCATTCTCCGATGTAGAGGATGCCACCGTGCAGCTGGGTACTTTCGGCTTCGGGGAGAACCTTAAACGATAGGGTTTAGGATTTAGGGGATTAGGGTTTAAACGTTTGTTCAGGGTTTTCGGAAGTTGCCACTCTCGGTCTGCAGACGTTACGACACAGGACTTGGATTGTTCTCGTTCTCCCCGCTTAAAGGGTCATGGTACTTAGTAACTAGGGTTTCTTAAGGTAACTATGCTTTTAACTACTTATAACCCCAATAAAGGTACTTATAACCATACTTACTAAGTCCCATGATCCTCCAAGCGGACAACCCTGAAGCACGCGAGATCTGAGTTGCAGTGCACAGGGCCTGCAAGTATGAACCCCAAAAAGAGAGTCGAAACTTAAACCCATAGCGCAAATCCTAGCGGACTGAAGCGCAAAACAAAAGCCAAACCTGCCCTGAACCCTGTCTCTGAGGCTCAAAGGACTCACATTTTAAGGATTTGGTGCCCAACTACCATGCTTTCTACGGGTGTTTTGAACGATTTCGAGCCTCATAGTTCCTTTTTAGGGGTACCTTATAGACTGCTATTATTTTGAGCCTTGGCCGTAGGGTGCTAATCTCTTAACCTCCAAACCCTAAACCCCAAACCCTATACCCCAAACCCTAAACCCCAAACCCTATACCCTAAACCCTAAACCCACCAAGCCCCAAACCCAAAGCCCGAAATCTCTGAGCCCCGAATCTTCCGAGCTGAATCTCCGGGTTCCCTTACTTCAAGGGTTCCTTAAAGAGATCCTTAGAGGCTTCTATGTAAGGGATCTGCCTTGAAGCCTTAAAGGGTTCTATAAGGGATCTGCCTTTAAAGCCTTAAATGGCTCTAGAAGGGATCTATATGTGGGTTTAAAGTCTACTAGGTTCCACAGTGGTACCCCTTTACCCCTTTTTCTTTTCGTGTGCTATTAGTTAGGGGCCGCTCAGGGAACCTGCAAATCCGAAGCGGAATGGGGTTTAGGGTGTAGGGTCAAAATCCAAAACCCAATTGCCTAAGCCGTTGTGCCCTTGGCCTGCAGCTATTTGGCTTGTGCGATCCCCTGCGTATCTTTGGAGATCTCAAGATGGACACAAACATGGCATGTTTTCGTCACTTGGCCTGCTATAACAACGGTAGCATTCGTGGATCCTCTGGGTAAATCTATGGTAGCCACTACAAGGTTCTTTGCAATGGCTTTTTGTGGCTTGGGCCGGTTTGGAATCATCTGACGATGTGAGCAATATCACTGACGATGACCAGGTGTGTAACGACAGTATTGTAGCCTGAGTCGTTGCTCATACTGATATAGGGGCCGCAAAAACTAGCAATATTGTTTTGGTGGTTCCTTATTATAGTTATAGTATAATGGGTTAGAAGCTGCCCCCACCCTGTAATAGTGGTATAATCGGAATATACTAGGGCCCTAATATATTATTAATATAATCCTTATAGTCACTATTACAGGGTGGGGGCAGCTTCTAAATAATGGGCCCCAAGACCCTATTCGAATTATTAGGGCCCCTATATCATTGCTCGAAGTTGGAGCTCCCTGGGCGGGGAGCCACTACGGTTGATGATATAAATCCTGCATTACCTTAAGGACCCAAAACTATGGGAATTATGGTATATTCCCTATTATGGGTGATGCAGGAATTTTATCATCAACCGTAGGACTTATCTGGGGCCCATCGTTTCTTGGATGTGCAGGTTGACTTACAATCTGGCTTTAACTATAGTGTACTTGGAGGGGCAGGGGACTTAGTAAGTAGGTTAGAAGTGGAGTTATAAGTACCCGAAATGGAGTTCCGCCAATTATAACCCTGCTTGCAAACGACTTACTAAGCCCCCTGGCCCTCCAAGTAGGTTCTCACTGTAGATGGTCATCCGCAAGGGGTCCCCTTACAAACGGCACCTCCGACAACAACTGCATAAAGCACCTCTACAGCCCCTGAAGTACACGGGCGTTTTTAATGTTCTTAGGATGCGGGGCGCAGCGTCCCAAGGATCAGGTTGTAGAGCAGCGAGCTTTAATTCACAAGTTTGACAGAACTACAGGCCGTATGCTTTCAGGAATGCGACGACTTCGGGCGGCAATTTCTGTTAGGGGTCACGGTTTGGGTCGGTTCTGTGTGGAAGTTCCAGATCTGGGGGGCCAACTTTTGAGCCCTGGACCCGAAGCCCATGGTTCGCACAGCCTTGGGTTACCCAGAGAGCCCGATACCCCTTAATTAAGGAATATAGCCTAAATCATAATATGGAGCCCTATATATAATTTAAGCCATATTCCTTAATTAAGGGTTATTGTGCTCTCTGGGTAGAGGATTGGAGTGTCTGGTGTCTGCATCTTGAAACCCAGGAAGTTAAACCTCCGGCACTGGGTCCTCCGAAGAATTGAGATTCCGTTTTATGGTTCAGGGTTGGGGTGGTTCTTGGGGTACCGTGGGTGTATGCCTTGCTCAGGGCTCAACCTCTAAACGCCTGTTAGGGTTCCCCGTTTACTGGAACCTTACTTGTTACAGGAACTAAACTGAAGGAGCCATAATCGGGATCCAAAATGAATAATAGGCTTTCCTCATGGCACTGTGGCAACTTAGATTAATCCCAAACCCTAAACCCTTACAGCAGAAGCCAGAAAGTTGGAACATAATTGTCCCAAACCCTAAACCCTAAACACTATCCTCATACCCTTAAGGCAAAGTATAAGGGATCCCAGCCCTAAGTCAATGTTCCAACTTTCTGGGGTTCACTGTAATCAGGGTTTAGGGTTTAGGGTTTAGGGTCAATGTAATCACACCCCAGTTTAAGGCCAGGACGGGATTTCCAGCCGCGAGCGGACAAAAGCAGCTGCTCCCAGCAGACGAAAACTTAAACCGTAAGCCCGAAAAACGGCCTACCCCAAAGGGTGCTACTGGTAGGCACTGTTATGGGGGGGTAATTCCCTAAGTCGTAATTTGAAACGCTGCGCGTCGTCCGCCTCGGCCCGGCTGTACGCGCATGCGGCGAGTGGCTACTATCTGCAGCAAGCTCTTGTAGGAGCTTGGTACGGGGGGGGCGGTGGCCAGCATTTTGGGGGTGGGGTCACTGGAGCAAATCCGAATAAAAACCTCTGCCGGGGCCGAGGCGAATAGTAAACCTGCATTCTACTATCATTCTATAGGGACTTTGGACCCTGTGCGCTAGACGCTTGTGGCAAGGCCGCTTCAGGATGCCATGCTTGAAGCTGCATGGATTATTGTGAGTGCTCTGGTGAGTCAACCCGGTCACAAGAGTCGCAAATATTCCCAGCCGTCCTAGCCCAGGTTGACATGTACGTGTAATCTCCACATGGCCATAAATCGCATAGAAAGCAGTATGGGGTTCTGTGCGGCAGCTGCCAAGGTGGCGGTGCAATTCATCGTGGGCCGATGTCCAAGGCGACTCAAATTGGGCATCTTGGCACGGTGGATTAGGGCTTAGGGGTTTAGGGCTTGGGGTTTCGAGGCGCATGGAGGAAGTCTATATTTGGCGAGAATACAAGTGTCTTGCTTGCTTTCGGTTGGTGCATTGTGGATTTGTCCAGGGAAACCTCGATTAAACCCCTACAGACCATCAACCCTAAACCTCTGTTTGCGCTAGGGTTTTGGAAGCAAACCCTTGATTTCTGAGGGCTTCGTAAGGAAAGGCCCGAACTTCGGGCAGGTTTCCATATCCAAAATACCTTGGTCTCGAGCAGAACCCATGGTATAACGAAAATACGGAACCCTCTATTTGTATGATTTATTTGTGCCCAGTGTAAGACTCTAAGGAGGACAAAAGCAAGGGGAAGGAAGGAAGGAAGGTTTCCGTGGCAGGAATTTGAATCAGGGACGCTCCGCACAAGTCTAAGGGAGTATTCAGGCTAAACCGACCGTCAAGCTCATTCAGTCGTCGCACTTACTGCTGGAAGCCTGATTTTCTTCTTCTTGTTCCTCTCGGTCTTCTTCGTGAGTATTAGGGCATATCCTTTAAACTAACTGGCAAAATGTGTAAATTTACATCCTTGTCGGGACCTAAAGGGAAAGTTTGAACATTGTTGGCTTACGAACTGGGCGTTTGCAGTAGTTAGACAACAGCAGGTCGATGGGCTGGTCAAGCCTTAGATAAATCCGTAATCTTGAACCTTAAACCCTAAATCCTAAATCCAAGACTTAAATCCACATCCTGAAAACCTTAATCCTGAACCTAAAGCTCTAAATCCTAAACCTAAAACCCTAAATTCAAAACCGGAAAAACCCTAAACCCTGAACCCTAGACCCCAAACCCTAACAGAGAGGGTCCAAGTACCCAAATATTAGGGTTTTTGAATTTGAATGGTTTTTGAACCATGAGACCCTACTATTTGGGCACTTGGACCCTTAGAGTAAACTGTAAACCCTAGACCCTAAGACCTAAACGCGATAAACCCTAAATCATATAAAAGGAGCCCTGGAAACAACAACAACACACTATAAAGACTTCACTCAAACCCCAAATCCAAAGCCGGAAACGGCCCCAACCTTAGAACCTAAACCCAAAGCCCAAACCTAGACCCTAACCCTAAACTCTACTTAAAGGGTCATGGGACTTAGTAACTAGGGTTATAATTAAGACAACTATACTTATAATTACTTATAACCCCAATTAAGGTACCTATA